GATATGGAACGGATGTATATTTCTGATTAATTGTTTAGCAAGACGGATATGGAACGGATGTATATTTCTGATTTATTCTTTAGCAAGATGGATATTAAATGGATAATGTATGATTTTAATCTACTGTTTAGTAAGACGGATATGGAACGGATGTATATTTCTGATTTATTGTTTAGCAAAATGGATATGGAACAGATGTATATTTCTGATTTATTGTTTAGCAAGATGGATATTAAATGAATAATGTATGATTTTAATCTACTGTTTAGTAAGACGGATATGGAACGGATGTATATTTCTGATTTATTGTTTTGCAAGATGGATATTAAATGGATAATGTATGATTTTAATCTACTGTTTAGTAAGATGGATATGGAACGGATGTATATTTCTGATTTATTGTTTAGCAAGATGGATATTAAATGGATAATGTATGATTTTAATCTACTGTTTAGTAAGACGGATATGGAACGGATGTATATTTCTGATTTATTGTTTAGCAAGATGGATATTAAATGGATAATGTATGATTTTAATCTATTGTTTAGTAAGACGGATATGGAACGGATGTATATTTCTGATTTATTGTTTAGAAAAATGGATATGGAACAGATGTATATTTCTGATTTATTGTTTAGCAAGATGGATATTAAATGGATAATGTATGATTTTGATCTACTGTTTAGCAAGATGGATTTGGAACGGATGTATATTTCTGATTTATTGTTTAGCAAGATGGATATTAAAATGGATAATGTATGATTTTGATCTACTGTTTAGCAAGATGGATATGGAACAGATGTATATTTCTGATTAATTGTTTAGCAAGAGGGATATGGAACGGATGTATATTTCTGATTTATTGTTTAGCAAGATGGATATTGAACGGATGTATATTTCTGATTTATTGTTTAGCAAGATGGATATGGAATGGATGTATATTTCTGATTAATTGTTTAGCAAGACGGATATGGAACGGATGTATATTTCTGATTTATTGTTTAACAAGACGGATATGGAACAAATGTATATTTCTGATAAATTGTTAAGCAAGACGGATATGGAATGGATGTATATTTCTGATTTATTGTTTAGCAAGATGGATATGGAATGGATAATGTATGATTTTGATCTACTGTTTAGTAAGACGGATATGGAACGGATGTATATTTCTGATTTATTGTTTAGCAAGATGGATATGGAATGGATAATGTATGATTTTGATCTACTGTTTAGTAAGATGGATATGGAACAGATGTATATTTCTGATTAATTGTTTAACAAGACAGATATGGAACGGATGTATATTTCTGATTAATTGTTTAACAAGACAGATATGGAACGGATGTATATTTCTGATTAATTGTTTAGCAAGACGGATATGGAACGGATGTATATTTCTGATTAATTGTTTAGCAAGACGAATATAGAATGGATGTATATTTCTGATTTATTGTTTAACAAGACGGATATTGAACAGATGTATATTTCTGATTAATTGTTTAACAAGACAGATATGGAACGGATGTATATTTCTGATTAATTGTTTAGCAAGATGGATATGGAACAGATGTATATTTCTGATTAATTGTTTAGCAAGATGGATATGGAACGGATGTATATTTCTGATTAATTGTTTAACAAGACAGATATGGAACGGATGTATATTTCTGATTAATTGTTTAGCAAGATGGATATGGAACGGATGTATATTTCTGATAAATTGTTGAGCAAGACGGATTCGGAACAAATGTATATTTCTGATAAATTGTTTAGCAAGATGGATATGGAACAAATATATATTTCTAATTTATTGTTTAGCAAGACAAAAATGTAACAGATGTATATTTCTGATTATTTGTTTAGCAAGATGGATATTAAATGGATGATGTATGATTTTGATCTATTGTTTAGTAAGACGGATATGGAACAAATGTATATTTCTGATTTATTGTTTAGCAAGACGGATATTGAACAGATGTATATTTCTGATTTATTGTTTAGCAAGACGAATATGGAATGGTATAATCATTGCAATTAATTAAATTAAAAATTGGTTTGTTGAACCAGAGCACAGGTGATCTGCCAACCTTGATTCCCAGACCTGGAACACAGATCAACTTCACACAGATATCTAGACAGAAATATCCAGGTAGAGATGGGATATTCATTGGTGGAAATATATGCGGAGGCCAAATTTAATGAATTTGAGCCGCGGAAATTTTGTTTTAATTGATTTATAAAATGTTTAGATGGGTCAGCAGCTCAGGAAATCAGTAAGGACGGTTTAGACTCAACATATGAACTGGAGATCTTGTTTTAATTGATTTATAAAATGTTTAGATGGGTCAGCAGCTCAGGAAATCAGTAAGGACGGTTTAGACTCAACATATGAACTGGAAATCTTGTTTTAAATGCTTGATTAAATGTTTAGATGGGTCATCAGCCCAGGAAATCAGTAAGGATGGTTTAGACTCAACATATCAACTGGAAAACTTGCTTTAATTGTTTAATGAAATGTTTAGATGGGTCATCAGCTCAAGAAATCAGTAAACATAGTTTAGACTCAACATATCAATTGGAAATCTTCATGAAGAATGTTCAAAGGTTTCTAACTTAAATATTGTATAAAACTAACATTTTAATATTTTTTGTTCCCTTTCATTCTTTGTCAAAATACTAAATGTGTCAAACAAAAACATAAGTCACAGAAGTTGGTGAGTTTTTTTCATACATTGGTCGCATTTATGAAGAACTAGTATTGTTTTGGGTTCTTTGAATATGGATCATTGATCATTGAGCAATTGAAAGAGAGGGTTTGTAGAGTGAGCTATTTTACTTTAGAGAAATAGCTCTGGAATAGAATTGATCATATTTCTCCAAGAAAACAATTACTGTAAAAAGTTATGAGTTTAACCTTTGAGGGGCACTAAGAAATATTTAACTTGTTATGCTCTTTGATTTCATTAAAGTTTTAAATTAGAATTTTAAGTTTTTAATTTATATTTTACAATTTATTGTTATAATAATAAAATAATAATGGTTAATTTACAGGATGGATGAAATACTTTCAGAACTACAATTCTCATTTCTTTGCTTCCTGGTTGGACAAAATTATGATAGCTTTGAACACTGGAAACTTTTAGGTTTGTAACTTTATTTAAACTCATTACAATGTAGATAACACAAAATAAACTTTATTTAAACTAATTACAATGTAGATAACACAAAATAAACTTAATTTAAACTCATTACAATGTAGATAACACAAAATAAACTTAATTTAAACTCATTACCATGTAGATAACACAAAATGAACCTAATTTGAACTCATTACAATGTAGATAACACAAAATAAACTTAATTTAAACTCATTACAATGTAGATAACACAAAATAAACTTAATTTAAACTCAACTTAACTTAAATATTTTTTTTAGAATTTTTTCTTAACAAAATAATTTGCCCCTATTTTCCATCTGGAAATTCCCAATTCTTAATTACTATTATGGGGGATATNTTGGAGATATGTTATAGAAGACTTTCTTATTATCTTAATTGAATCCATATTTATATATTTTGTATTCAGTTGATATGGTTTGTGGTTGTTCAGATGGGTTATTAAAGTTCCCGACTCTTTTCATTCAGTTCATTTCTGATATCTACTTCCAGGTGATATTATTAAGTTTCCGACTCTTTTCATTCAGTTCATATCTGATATCTACTTCCAGGTGATATTATTAAAGTTCTACACTCATCATTCAGTTCATTTCTGATATCTACTTCCAGGTAATATTATTAAAGTTCCCGACTCTTTTCATTCAGTTCATTTCTGATATCTACTTCCAGGTGATATTATTAAAGTTTCCGACTCTTTACATTCAGTTCATATCTGATATCTACTTCCAGGTGATATTATTAAAGTTCCCGACTTTTTTCATTCAGTTCATATCTGATATCTACTTCCTGGTAATATTATTAAAGTTCCTGACTCTTTTCATTCAGTTCATTTCTGATATCTACTTCCAGGTAATATTATTAAAGTTTCCGACTCTTTTCATTCAGTTCATATCTGATATCTACTTCCAGGTGATATTATTAAAGTTCCCGACTCTTTTATTCAGTTCATATCTGATATCTACTTCCAGGTAATATTATTAAAGTTCCCGACTCTTTTATTCAGTTCATATCTGATATCTACTTCCAGGTAATATTATTAAAGTTTTAGTGGGGTGGGGTGGAGTTAGTGGG